GGGGCTGCTCCCTCCAGGCCTCCGGGCCGTCAGTGCCACGCAGATCAATGCGTCCTGGTCACCGCCAGCAGCGCAGAATGGCAAGATCACCACGTATTTGCTCAGAAGTGAGGGTCAGGAGCACCCGGCCGGGCAGGGCCTGTCCCTGCTGGTCGCGCACCTGCAGCCCTACACGCAGTACAGCTTCTCTCTCGTCGCCTGCACCCGCGGAGGCTGCACAGCTAGTGCGCCCACCTCGGCCCGGACCCTGGAGGCCCCGCCCCAGAACATGGATCCTCCAGAACTGCAAGTCACGGGCTCGGGATCCATAGAAGTCACCTGGACGCCCCCCAGAAACCCTAACGGCCAGGTCAGAAGTTACGAACTTCGCAGGGACGGGACCATCGTGTACGCCGGCCCGGAAACGCGCTACCATGACTTCACGCTCACCCCCGGGGTGGAGTACGGCTACACGGTGACTGCCAACAACAGCCAGGGGGGCGCGGTGAGTCCCCTTGTCAAAGACCGAACCAGCCCCTGGGCGCCCTCAGGGATGGGGCCTCCGAGATTACAGGCCCAGGGTCCCCAGGAGATCTCGGTGGCCTGGGACCCTCCCGTGAGGACGAACGGCCAGATCGTCAACTACACCCTCTTCGTCCGAGGGCTGCCTGAAGGAGAAACCAGGATCGTGCACATCAACGCAAGTCATCACTCGTTTGGCGCCCGGGCCCTCGCGGTAAACCAGCTGCAGCCATTCCGCAGGTGGGTCTCTCCCCCTGGGCCTGTGAGAGCAAGTCACCGTCCTTTCTGTGGTGTGAGCCCAACATGGGTGACACCCCAGCCCCCATCTGCGTAACCAGAGGAAATAAGGGAGAAGGAAAGGGGCTGGAGGGAAAAGTAGGGGTGCCGTGAAATCAGTGGGTGTGGGAACAGAGCCCAAAGCACGCACTTGCAGCCATGGGCACCTACTGCTCACAGAAGCCCCTTTTGTTGGAAGGGGACAGTCCTGCTATGTAAATAGACCTGTGCAGGTGGCAGGAGACCAGCGACCAGACAAAACGTAATTGATTGGTTGGGTTTAACTGGACGGTGATAAGGTGTCTCCGTGATGGATAATCTGGTGTGTGGCTGGGTTACCTCTGGCCCCGAAAGGTCTCCGCGTGCTGCAAGGGAGCCTGTTGTAAACTGTCAGGTATCGGGTGTGGGGGTTATGACCACGCAGGCCTTACCTCCACGGTGCTCCTTCGCGGCCTGGGGACACTCCTGGGGAGTCTGAGAGGCCCAGCTGCAGAGTTCGGGGAGCGCAAGGCTGCTGGAAGCTGACTCCCATTCCCCAAGTCTGCCTTCTTCATCGCTGGGCTCGGTAATTCTGCAGACGGAAAGGGTTTGGGTGCTGGAGAGAATCCTGAATGTTTATTTATCCCACGCACGCCTGTTTAGGGAAGAACGTGCCCACCCTTTCCAGACGGGTGAGCTGCTTTATTTTGGAAAGGCAGGAGGATTTCAGCTGTTCTAGAATTTCCATGAAAATATGACTTTGTAACTTCTTTTTTTTTATTTTAGAGAGAGAGGAAGGGAGAGGGAGCGAGAGATAGAAACATTGGTGAGAAACATAGATAGTCTGCCTCCTGCACGCCCCCTACTGGGGATTGAGTTGATGACCTTTTGGTGCCCAGGGAAGATGCTCAACCAACTGAGCCACAGCAGCCAGGCAACTGTGTTACTTTTTAGAAGGGTCAGCTATCAATAAGAATAAATATAAACTTACTGGTCTTTTTATCCGAAAACTCTTGGTATTTCTTATCTATTTATTTATTTTTACTTTTATTGATTTTTTCTTTTTTAGAGAGGGAGGGAGAGGGAAGAAGAGAGAGAAGCATCAATGATGAAAGAGAATCATTGATCAGATGCCTCCTGCACGCCCCCTACTAGGGATCGAGTCTGCAACCCAGGCACGTGCCCTGACCAGGAATCAAACCCGTAACCTCTTGGTTCCCAGGTCGACACTCAGCCACTGAGCCACAGCGCCTGGGCAACTCTTGGTTTAATAAAGATTCTTCCAAAACAAAACTCTAGTTTGCCAGTAACAGGTAATTTCTGCCTTGTGTCCTGAAGGTACGAAGCTCGAATTCAAGCCTGCACCCTGCTGGGATGCGCGTCCAGTGACTGGGCATCCGTACTGACCCCCGAGATGGCCCCTGCCATGCAGCCGCCCCCACGCCTGGAGGTGCGGGTGGCTCCCGGGGGGTTCCAGCCCACGGTCTCTCTCTGGTGGGCAGGACCGCTTCGGCCAAATGGACAAGTTTTGTCCTATGAGTTGTACAGGAGACAAGTAGCAACTCAGCCTGGGCTGCCGAGCCCAGTTCTCACCTATAATGGAAGCGCCAGCTCTTTTATGGATTCCGATCTCCGGCCTTTCACGGAGTATGAGTACCAGGTAAGAAACGCGTATTATCAACCGCTCACATGTCCCCAGTAGGGGGTGCGCAGGAGGCAGCCAATCTGTGATTCTCTCTTATCATCGATCGATCTCTCTCTCTCTACCTTCCTCTCTGAAATCAACATATCTGCCTTTCACAGAGTATGAGTACCAGGTAAGAAACAGTATTATCAACTGCTCACACGTCCCCAGTAGGGGGCGCGCAGGAGGCAGCCAATTGGTGATTCTCATCATTGATGTTTCTTTCTCCCTCTCTCTCTCTCTCTCTCTCTCTCTCTCTCCCTCTCTCCCTCCCTCTCCCCCCCTCCCTCCCTCCCTCCCTGAAATCAATCAATCAATCAATATACTTTTTAAATAAATTAAAATATAGGTCGTAGGCGCACATTGGCACCTGCCTTTGCAAAGTGCTCACATTTTGAAAAGCCACTTAGAGAAACCTAGGCCTTAGGGAGGTCCTAATATCCTGGCTGCAGGGGGGACCTGGGGGTGAGTCCACTCCCTAAGCAGCTGGGATTCTTACCTGCGGGGGGCGCTCAGTAATCCTGCATCGTAGTCGCACTCTCCCCACCGGCTCCTGGGGACCTGCCAGGACCCCCTTCCATCGCATCAGGGGGACCGAGACCTTATCAGTTTTCCTGAAACGGGCCCCCTTGGACACGTAAGCACCCTCGCCCACATGGGGTCCCCAAAGGCTCCTGGTGCCTCGTGCCTGGGGGAGGGAGGTGGGGGCTGAGAAGCGACAGGTCAGCCTTGGGGGAAACCTGGTGATTCGCTCTCGTGTGAGTCTGCCCTGCGGGCGGGTGCTGTGGGAGCCCACCTGGGACAGCCGATTTCTCACAGGCCCACCCGCCCCAAAAGGGCGCCCTATGCAGGAGAGGATGGAGGGAAGGGTCGAAGGGGACAAGGGGGTCTCACCGTTCCTGCCCCTCAGCGAGGCAGGTCAGCCCCTCTCCTCCTGGCCACTGCTCTTCTCGGAAAGACAGTGACGTGGCCGCGTGCCCTCCATCCTCCTGGCTGTGTCTGGCACTTCTGTGATGAGCAACTTGCTTCAAAGGGCTGGTTCTCTGAGGCTGCCCCCCTCACCCTCCCTCTCCAGTGCGTTCTCTGTATCCCATTTAGGGAAAACTTATTGAGCCTGTTTTTTGTTTGGCTTTGGACACGCATGTAATGAGGTATTAGTCTCACGAACGTATTTCTGACCAACGTGGAGGCTTCTCTTTGGTTAGCTTCTCCCGCAGGAACGAAGCTGCGCCCGCCCCCAGCTCCCACGGCTCCAGGTTTTAAATGATTGACATTGTCTGACACAAGGCAGCGTATTTGTCCTAAAAGTTCAGAGCCTCCGTGCTCCTGCCTGGACTGAAGGCCATCGGACGTTTCCATGAGTAGAAATCTGAATTCTGCGCCTGGGCCAGGGACCACGGCATGATTTTGCCATCACACCCTTCATTCCGATAGGAGATCATTTCTTCAAAGTGCCTGTGAGCGCCTCTTTGCTCTTTTCCTGCCTCTCCTGGCATTCCTTAGGGCTCTCTTTCTAAGTCCCTATTGCTGCGGTCCCTCTGGTGCCTTAGAGAATTGCACTTAATTACTGGGACTCGGTACATTTCCATTCAGTTCACAATAAATGTCTAGGTCTGTATGAAGCAATCATATCTACAGGTGGAAACAAAAAGTGTTCATGCATTTTTGTAAATCTGATGCCTTCAATTGAGATCTTTAAGAAAGTGGCTGAGGCTTTTTCTTGTAAATTGATTTATCTATCTGTCGATGGGTCTGATCATTACCCAGATGCCTGTCAGTGTCTGGGAAGCTACACGGTGCTCTCCTTGATGCCCATGTCCGTAATGGAAACTGAAAATAAGTTTTGTTTTCTTTGAGGAGCCATTGAATTGCTCCATGGTGTACTTCTGCTTATACGTTTGGATGTCTGGAAAAGTTTTAATGACTAAGGCAAAGTAGAGTACACCATCCAGTCAGCAAATTTTTATGTAGAAACAATATTTCTGAAAAGCCAGGCTTCCGTTTATCCTAATCCTCAAAGTTCTAGAATGGAGGAGCCCCCCGAGGAAGGTATACAGAGAGAAGTGGGCTGAACCCAGAATGCTGTGCAGGGTTTGCTCTTGTTGATTCATAGCAGCCAGAGTCACAGAATTGCTATTTAGTCCCACTCTCTCTTCCAACACTCTACCAACAAATAATCCTATATAATAAAAGGGTAATATGCAAATTGACTCTAGTGGCAGAATGACCAGGAATAACTGGTCGCTGTGATGCGCACTGACCACCAGGGGGCAGATGCTCAATGCAGGAGCTGCCCCCTGGTAGTCAGTGCGCTTCCATAGGGGGAGTGCCGCTCCGCCTGAGCCAGCTCATGGCTGGACAGCGCAGCGGCGGTGGCAGGAGCCTCTCCCACCTCCGTGGCAGCGCTAAGGATGTCCGACTAACAGCTTAGGCCCACTCCTTGCCTGGGGTGGGCCATCCCCCGAGGGCTCCTGGGCTGCAACTCTGGGGCTTTCAAAAGTCTTCATAAAATATTTATAATTTTCCTTTTTTTTACCACCCAATTCTTCATAAATGTATAGAAAATGTATTGCATGTAAATCAGAATAGTCCTGTGAGGTAGGTGGCCAGTTAAACAGGTGGCTACATAGAGCTTTGCAGCCATTTACCCCTTGACTGTGGCCCACCCGCAGGACTGCTTATGAAATAAAACGATCTTGCCATCATGGCGGTTCAGACCCCCTGCCTTCCTGTTAGCCATGAGTCCCTCTGACCACAATTGTGCCAAAGCCCCGTTTGGCATTTTGCTCCTCGAGCATATTCCAAAGCCAAGACAAGCTCCCCTTTCAAAAGGCATTGGCATGAGTGCCCTGGGAAAATCTACTGCAAGGTTGCAGATGAATTGATATGATTTCGTTGATTGGATCTTTTTATTTATGAGGCATAATTTATGAGCGCTGGAGAGCAAACTGCAGTGAGTGATGACTAACCACAGCCCAGGTCATAAATCAGGAGCAGTGAAAGAAATGGTGATTTTGATCGAATCTATTGAATTAGCTGTTGGCCTTCGCCAATACAGGTATTGGAAAGACCTTTTTAATATCTATTTGTCTCCCTCCTGGGAATGTGATAACGGTCTTGTTACATGCCCCCAGGAAACGAATAATTTAATAGTTTGCCTGTTAACATGCAACCTATTTACTCGAGTTATTAATTATGGGCATGGCTGTGCCTGTAGGATTTTTATTTATTTTGGATGTGAATTGTCAGGAAAATTTATTCCCGTGCTCCAGTTTTTCTAAACAGTGACGTGGCCTCCTGCTTCTTGATATTTCTGTGTTCTTGGTGGTGTCCAAATGCTTCTTATTTTATCAAAAATTGTCATATTCCACAAGGAAGCATGTTATAGAATATTCCAAAGTTTCAAAAACCTCAGACATTTCTCTCTATCTCAAGCCTCTGAGAGGAACTGTTAAAATTCAACTTATAATAAGCAGCAAAATCTCCAATTGCTGCAAGGGCAAGGCATTTACTGTCACTTACATAAGGAGTTAACAGATTAGAGGGTTTTTCTGTGAAAGATCACTGATTGAATCTGGTTATTCCTATATTCCATTTTTGTATGGGAAATGATAGCAAATAGTGTATCAAAGAGACCTCCGCTGGATCCAGACAGTGTAGAGAGCAGATGCTGACACGTTATGTAATTAAAAATTTTAAGGCAAAATGCAGTTAATTGGTCCTTGGGGGAGGGAAGAGTCAATATAAAAAATTTTTAATGGACAATAGCATAAAGGTGGTAATAATCGCTAGTTAGATATTTTAAAACTTAGATAAAAAATAGAAATATAAACAAATGAACCTAATATTTTACTAGTCAGTTATAGAATTTGTGGTTCAGTGATTTCAGTTCTTTCCTGTTTATTCATATGGTTGGCCTGGGTTTTCTGTGACATCTTACATTGTACCTCTTTTCATGTTTACAACCAAAACCCTAGAGAAGAAAGCACCTGACCCAGCCAGCGCTGACCTGCTCACTTTCACGGCCCTTCCCGGGGAAGTCCCTACCTCTGACAACTGTCATTGTGCGCTTGTGTGTACACACACCTTCACGCGTACAAGTGCGTGCTGAGCCCAGATTAGGAAGTTGTTTCAGTGGGAACTTTAACCATCTTTTTTTATTATAAAAGAATAAATATGTTTGGCAGGATACTGCAGGTATAAGGACACTCTGAATTAATCAAAGCTGAGCAGCATCCATACATTTTTCTCTTGGCCATGGAATTTGTAAACCTTATTTCACCCTCCCTCCCCCATTCATGTCCCTTTTTTCCTGTGAGCAGCCCACACACAGTGTTTTTATGTTCCCAGTGAACATGGGAGGGAGTCTTGGGATACAAATCAAAAGGAATGGCTTGTCAGTTAGGTAAATGGTGAAAAGGTAGGTAGGTAGGTAGATACGTACACACATACATAGATTGAATAGAATAAGAGAAAGAATGAATAGAATAAGAAAGAGAGAAATAAAGTAGATAATTCTGTTTGTTCATAAGATATTTTATTTCTTGATTTTTGTATTGGTTCATTGAAGTTAATAGATCCCGGCATATTGCTCAAAATTTCCCATGCAAGACCTCTGCTTCTCTTTCCCCCCATAAAGATGGACCCAAATCTTGAGGCCATTGTTTCCCCTTAGAAATCATAAGCATAATCTGTTCGCATTTTTATTCTGAACCCTGAACTAAACTCCACTTCCTTCATCCCTTGTTGAGCTGAAAAGAGACCAAAATCCATGGCAACTTTTGGGTGAAGGACTTTCACCTCAACAGAAGGAGGCAGAGGAGGTGTCACCGTCAGTCTCTCTTTTCCTTTCCCTCTGGGGGTTTGGTGTAACAGGAGCACTGCCTTGTGGTTCAAGTCTCCTGGAATCCGTAATGCTCATTATCTCGGCCGGCTTTCCCCTCCTCATAACTGCTTTCATTTTCAGAGTGGCTCCTGTGAATAGCTGATCCTGCTTTGCATAAGCATGTTGATTTATATGAATGCTATTTTGATCTCAAATTGATTGAATACTGAAAAGAAAGACTAGGGGGGAAAAAAGAGCACTGTATTATGAAGGTCTCTTGTGAAAGACAAAGGCACTAGCTCCTTCATCCGTTCCCAGTTAGGGGTGGGGAGTTTTCTATTGCCTCGTTTATAGAAGAGACTGTTTCTGAAGAAATACAGCAAAACGATCATGTTGAGACTCAAAGTAGCTTTAAAATACCAAGGGTTAAATCCCATTTGGAAGTAGGACCCCACCCAGTCAGAGTTCAGGAAGCCATGAGGTTTAGCCCCTCTGGCAGCACCAGGATCACAAAGTCCTCCTGGTTTCTGTGGCCCTAAATCTACATCAAAAAGGAAAGCAAAGTAAGTGAGCGGAAGCCTGGGCCAGCCCCCTGCTAAGCACTTTCTAGGAGCCATCCCTGTTTCCCCTCAGACCTGCACTTCTCTCTCTTATCGGTGCCCAGTAACCAATGGACAACTCGCTGACGCTGTATTTTATTACACCTACTCTATTTTCCTCCTGTTTCCCCAGCCATTGTGACCCCCGCTAAAGTTCTGTGTGCCCTTAGATCACCAGCCAAAGCCCTGTTCTTAGCAAAGAAGTTGGTATCAGTGCATGCTCCTTATTTTGCATATATTCTTTAAAAGTTTTTTTTTTCCACTCCTTGTGTAATAAAAATGCCCCTCGCCCCACCCATAGGAAGGTATTTGCAGTAAAAGGGGTTGGTTGGGAGCAGACTGAGCAGTCGGGGACCTTCTTATCAGTCCTGAACTCTGACCTCCTCCCTAATTTCCCCTCTCAGACTGACCTTGGCCCATTCAGAAGGGATTGTAAAAACAGCTGCAGTGGTTTTTTCTTTTCTTTTTTTAATATATTATTATTGATTTCAGAGAGGAAGGGAGAGGGAGAGAGAGATAGAAACATCAATGATGAGAGAGAATCGTTGGTCAGCTGCTTCCTGCACGCCCCCCACTGGGGATGGAGCCCACAACCCCCGAATGGGACCGAGAATCGACTGTGACCTCCTGGTTCATAGGTCGAAGCTCAAGCACTGAGCCACGCCAGCTGGATGTTATAGTGGTGTTTTGACCTGGACTTGGGTTTCCAGGAGGCCTGGCTCTCCCATTGCTGGTTTTCCTTCTCTGTCCTTCCCTGTGCCTTTCAAAGCCAACCTCCATCCTCTAATACAACCTGGGCACCTCTCTCCATCCTTGCCAGTTAAGAGATTTTAATCCAGAATCACAGGTGTTTGTCTATGGACCAGTTATTTAACTTTCTTGATTCCATGTAATTCATTTATGCGTATGGATGACATACAGAATCAAACACACAATATATTGGAAAGAGCGTTTATCGGAGAGCAGAATTCTAGTTTCAGCTCTTGTAACTTCTGTCACTCTGAACAAGAGAACCTCAATTTCCTCACCTGTAAAATGGGCTAATGATACATTATCCAGCCACCCTACAAGGTTCCTTTGGGAGGGCTGAATCAGCTAGTGTATGTCCAAGTGTGTTGTAAATTGTAGAGTGTATAAAATGTAGGTAATTATCATGCAAATGATGAGAGACTGTATCAGAACTCTGAAAAGAGCAAGTTCCGATATGTAAGTAGGTTAGTCATCCCGTCTGCAAGGGGCTGCAGAATTGCATGTGACAGCCATCCAAGAGCATTTCAACATCAGGAGTTTGACTTTTGCAAAGGAATCCACCTCCTTAAAAATGTGTGGAAACACTCATGGGAGTTGGCCGAACTCCTAAAAACCTCTCCAGTGTTTATTCTCTTGAAGATATTATTGATGCCAAAGCAAAACAAACAAAAACAAAACTAAATTCTCCATGCAAAGTACTCTCCTACAGTTTTTTTTTCTAAATGTCCCAGATTTTGAAAGTTCTGCATGTGTTTGTTTGTTTTTTTGACACAGCACACCCAGAAAGTGTGGACTGTAGAATCAAACCAGCTTTCCAGATGTGTCTTTAAAAGCTCAGGGCAAGTTTGGATGGATAAGTGAGTGGGTGGTGGAGAATGGATGAATGGGTAGGCAGGTGGATGGGTGGATAGGTAGGTAGGTAGATGATAGATAGATAGATAGATAGATAGATAGATAGATAGATAGATAGATAAAGGGAAAAAAGACACCAAATGAGCAAATGAGTTCCTAAAGTTAGACTGCTCAAGATGAAAGCTTACTAAGGAATACTGGTACTCCTAAACACACAGACAGTCTTCTCGTATTGTCATTTAGATCTATCATTCTGATTGATCACTGTGTAGTTGGCTGTTATTGGGCCTAATTTAACCCTATACACTCACACATCCATCTACTCTGTCTATTGTACCTGACATTCTACAAATTACTTACTCATGCAAATGATGACCCAAGGCAACCTTTTAGGATATTCGTGCTTAATTATACAAATAGTTCTTGATAAATAAGATTATACATCCTTCCATATGTTGATTCCCTCCTTGATGAAAGGAAAATCTAATTTCCATGCAGATTTGGTGGGGACAGTGTTTAAGAATTGCTGAGTTTTAAGGAGTCTGCAGAGCCATCCAGTTGATAGGTAGGTAGGTAGATGATAGATAGATAGATAGATAGATAGATAGATAGATAGATAGATAGATAGATAGATAAAGGGAAAAAAGACACCAAATGAGAAAAAAAATTCCTAAAGTTAGACTGCTCAAGATGAAAGCTTACTAAGGAATACTGGTACTCCTAAACACACAGACAGTCTTCTCGTATTGTCATTTAGATCTATCATTCTGATTGATCACTGTGTAGTTGGCTGTTATTGGGCCTAATTTAACCCTATACACTCACACATCCATCTACTCTGTCTATTGTACCTGACATTCTACAAATTACTTACTCATGCAAATGATGACCCAAGGCAACCTTTTAGGATATTCGTGCTTAATTATACAAATAGTTCTTGATAAATAAGATTATACATCCTTCCATATGTTGATTCCCTCCTTGATGAAAGGAAAATCTAATTTCCATGCAGATTTGGTGGGGACAGTGTTTAAGAATTGCTGAGTTTTAAGGAGTCTGCAGAGCCATCCAGTTTGCAGAAGCTGACAAAAATCCCGCCACCTCCCACCCAGAGACGAGCAGTTTTCCATCCAGCTCAAATCAGCCACTGCATTCGGAAATCGGGGCTCCCAGCGAGCCCCTCTGTGTTCTCAGGGGCAAAGGCAAAACAAAGAGGAAGGACCCAACTTCCTTTGCGGTCACAGAGTTGAAAGATCAAAGTGTATCTCGTTCTGTTGTGTTCGGTCACTTTGGATTGCCAACTGTGTTCTTTCAGCCTGAGGTTATCGTGCTGTTGACTGGTCTCAATGATTTCTCTTTGAAGGTCTGGGCAGTGAATTCAGCAGGGAAAGCCCCCAGTAGCTGGACTCGGTGTAAAACGGGACCTGCCCCCCCAGAAGGTCTCGGGGCCCCCAGGTTCCACGCCGTGTCTTCTACCCAAGCTGTGGTCAACATCAGCGCCCCTGGGAAGCCCAATGGCATTGTCAGCCTCTACAGGCTCTTCTCCAACAGCACTGGCGGGGCAGAGCTGGTGGTGAGTAATGGAGTCCCCTTCCTTCCTTCCTTCCTTCCTTCCTTCCTTCCTTCCTTCCTTCCTTCCTAACTTCCTAACTTCCTAACTTCCTTTCTTTCTTTTTATTGATTTCAGAGAGGCAGAGAGGGAGGGAGGGAGGGATGAGAAAGAATCATTGACCGGCTGCCTCCTGCACACCCCTTACTGGGGATCAAGCCTGAAACCGGGGCATGTGCTCTGACCGGGAATTGAACCGAAACCTCCTGGTTCATAGGTTGACACTCAACCACTGAGCCATGCCAGCCGAGCTATTTATTTTTAAAAAAATAAACCATGATGCCCTTGCTTTATCTTCTCCTTGCTCCTTATTTCTTACTGTCTGTTCTCAGTGGCCTGGTGATGAGCTTAGTGGCGCAATGATCCCTATGAGAAGAAATAGCAGTGAGCATTAGGACACACACACAAAATACAGAAGTGCCCAGGGAGGGACTTGCTGAAGGTGGTATTCAAGACTCTAGGGTTGTTGTGAGAATCCTAAGACTTCAGAGATACTAAAATCAAATTAATTTAGTTAGAAAACGCCCGTCAAGCGCTTCACATAGTAGTGTCTATAGTGAGGGGCAGACAGGTGGCCATTGGAGGTGGTGTCAGTGTTACTATGAAAAAAAAAAAAAACAACAACACAACTAGAGCAAAGAACGTCCTTGGAATCCTCATTGTGGTGCTCCAAGGTCTCTGGCAGTACCCAGGAAATTCATCTTTCTGTTAGCGACTTCGAGAAAGTTCTAGCGCCTTGGCAGGGACTGCAGAGCAGCTCAGTCCACAAAGCTCTAGAGCCACGGTCTGTCTATGGACACATCGGGGAGACGTGCCCCACGAGCCCTCTGGCTGGAAGGGCCACCCCAGTCAAGAAGGCCAGCTCCTGCCCAAGCTGCTCTGGCTCAGTGGATAGAGCGTCGGCCGCAGACTGCAGGGTCGCACATTCGATTCCGGTCAAGGGCATGTACCTCGGTTGCAGGCCCAATATCGTCAGGGCGAGTATGGGAGGCAGCCAATCAATGTGACTCTCTCACATCCATGTTTCTCTCACTCCGTCTCTCCCCTCCCTCCCGCTCTCTCTAAAAATCAATGGGAACATATCCTCAGGTGAGGATTAACAACAACAAAGAAAGAAGACCAGCTCCGTTATTCACATGGGGAGGCTGAGCCCTTGGGAGGAAGTCTCTTTTCTCGGTCACGCCTACCTTTCTCAGGAATAAGGACAGATTATAGCGTTTTGTTCGCACAGACCCCATAGAGAAATTGTGCAGATCCCAGGATCTCATCCTAAACTACTTAGACCAATTTAGGGAACAATTTGGGCAAGAGTGGAGAAGTCCCCGGAGGCCAGAGTGGCAGATACTGAAACACAATGTCACCAGCTAACTCTCAGATGCAAGGAAGTCTCCTATTGCATGTTAAAGGGAAATTAGCATATTTTCTACAGGGCTTCATAGTCAATAAATATAGATGATGTAAATACAATCAACCCTTGATTATCTATACTTATAAATGATAATATTAATGAAGTAAAATAATTTATATTTGGAGTGCATTATACACAATTTTCTGCAATAACATACAGCTCTTCTTAATTATATGTTGTGTATGTCAGTGTGAAAACTAGTTTCCAGTTTCTGATGGCTTCTGTTCCAACGAGTACTTAGTAAAACCACAATGAGGTAAAACAAAAAAAAATTGCTCCAAATAAGCCAAAAAGTTTATAATGTAACAAGCATAATGGAGAAAAAGACTATGATATTTCATATACCCACCACCCTCAGAGAAAAAGATGGACTATCAAACTCTTAAATATGCATATAATATATAAAATATGCAATATGTAAAATATGCAAACATATCAAGTATATATATTTCAAGCTCCTACATACCCAACTCAATCATGGATTTGAGGCGCTATTCAACCCAAAAATTACATGCAAATAACAATGGCAGAACATGGGCTTGGCAAGTGCTGACTAGGAGTATAATTCAAATATAGACTTTGTTGTTTTTAAAGGCTTCATTCCAAGGGTTGCAGTATTGAATCCATATTTTGTGTGTTTTGTGCCATTTTCTAATATCTTTCTATGGTAACAGACAATGTATGCCTTGTGTTTTCTGTCCTGTTACCTCTAACTTCTATCTCGGAAATCATTATTTTTGGCCTGTTTCAGTCATGCCTGTCCAACGGGTTGGTAATTCCTTGGGGGCAAGTACTAGCCACATCCACAGTGCACCTCCCAGGCTGCCTGGTGTGGCGCTCCAGTCCTAGGAGGTGGGGTGCGGGATGCAGATCTGTCACTGAGGTCTGGGCCCAGCCTCACCAGCTTCTCTGTCCACAGCTGTCGGAAGGCCCGGCCGCCCAGCAGACCCTCCGCGGCCTGCAGCCCTTCACCACCTACTCCGTTGGCGTGGAGGCCTGCACCTGCTTCAACTGCTGCAGCAGGGGGCCCACGGTGGAGCTGAGGACGCGCCCTGCTCCGCCCGCCGGGGTGGCCTCCCCCCACATCCAGGCACTGGCCTCCAGGACAGCCTCCTTCCTGTGGAGTCCCCCCCTCTTCCCCAATGGCATCATCCAAAGGTAATCGGCCAGCCAGAAGGATGAATCAGCCCAAATAAGGCCTGACATACCCAGCTCTCCCCCAGCAGATGCCTCTAGCGGCATCTAGCCAATGGGCCATATTTGCTGGTTACAGTGGTCATGTTCCCTGCAAAGCATTTCAGTCATAATTCAACTAAGGATCTAAAGGAGAGCCACAAACTTGTCTTTAAATAAGACAGATGCTGCCTGGCCCGTGTTCGCACTCACTGGAGGAATTTGCGCCTCCTCCCTCGTGGTTCTCGAGTGATCCATTCTGTAGCTTCTGCTGGGACACCCAGTTCTGTGGTTAACTCAGAATTTCCTCAATCTTATTTAAAACATTGAAATGAACCATTGTTTGAAAGAACAAAGAAGTTATTTCACTCAGAACAGTCGGGAGGAAACAAGATCTTTTTTCATTTTTCACAAAGGAGAGCCGTGTTCTCAGTCTCCTCTGAAAAGAGAGAAAGGTCTCACTCTGCCCAGGATGACCAGCCGCTGGGCGGACGGCAGGGTGTGTCCATGTGTGACTTCCCTCATCATTCCTGCTGCGCACTTCCAACAGCTCAATAAAGTGGGTCCGCCCCCGGCCAGCGTGGCTCGGTGGTTAAGTGTGAGCCTGTGAACCAGGAGGTCATGGTTCGATTCCCCGTCAGGGCACATTCCGGGGTTGTGGGCTCGATCCCCAGTAGAGGGCGTGCAAGAGGCAGCCGATGAATGATTCTCATCATCGATGTTTCAATCCCTCTCTCCCTCTCCCTTCCTCTCTCTCTGAAATCAATTAAAAGACACACAACAAATAAAGTGGGTCTGAGCTTTTCCTCCCCCGGCCGGCGTGGCTCCGTGGTTGAGTGGGAGCCTGTGAACCAGGAGGTCATGGTTCGATTCCCGGTCAGAGCACATTCCAGGGTTGTGGGCTCGATCCCCAGTAGAGGGCGTGCAAGAGGCAGCCGATGAATGATTCTCATCATCGATGTTTCAATCCCTCTCTCCCTCTCCCTTCCTCTCTCAATGATTCTCCCTCTCCCTTCCTCTGTCTCTGAAATCAATTAAAACACACACACAACAAAATAGAGTGGGTCTGAGCTTTTCCCCATGAATGGCAATTTTCAAGAGCTTGTAGTTCAAGGAAAACAAAACAGAACCAGTTTTACAAGAGAGTTACACTGATTCTGTGCCCCGTTTTCTCCTGAGGTGTTTGTCCTTCTTCCAGCTACGAGCTCCAGCTGCACAGGGCTTGCCTTCCGCACACAGATGCTCCCTGCACCCCCAGCCAGACGGAGACGCAGTACAGGGGCCCGGGGCCCAGCGCCAGCCTCCGGGGGCTCCAGCCTTACACCACCTACAGGCTGCGCGTCCTGGTCCACAACCAGGCAGGCAGCGCGGCCTCCAAGTGGATCCGCTTCACCACCCAGAGAGAGCGTGAGTAGCGGCGGCCGCCACCATAACCAGAGACAGTAAGAGGGCAGTGGGCGAGGTGCGTCATGAGGGCAGGGAAAACCCGTTTTATGAAAGGGTTTGCGTGGAGGTCCCGTTTCATGGGCTGCTACTGAGGCGGCAGTGAAGGTGACTGTGAAAAAGCGTGCCTCATCCCCTAGCCGGGTGGCTCAGTGGCTAGAGCATCGGCCCATGGACTGAAGGGTTCCTGGTTCGATTCCGATCAAGGGCATGTACCTGGGTTACAAGGTTGATTCTTGGCCCTGTCCGGGCACGTGTCTCTCTCACATAGATGTCTCTCTCTGTCTCTCCTCCTCCCTTTTACTCTCTCTAAAAATAAATGAGAAAACATCCTCGGGTGAGAATTAACAACAAAAAAGCGTGCCTCTTGCACTTAATAACATGGAGATTGTAATGTACCACGCTCCGGAGTGACCAGCCGGGCCATGAATTATTACACCCGCATTGCTGTTGGCAAGGCTCTTTAACACTCTTAGAAAACAAACAAACGGTTCAAGAAAAAGCTTTAAAAATAAATGGGTGCCAATTGGACATAATTCACCATCTAAGCAGTTTGGTTGGGGTGTGTGTGTGTGTGTGTGTGTGTGTGTGTGTGTGTGTATATAAACTTCATCTAGTCCTTGGGGCTTTGTAGCAATAAATATTGATTTGCTATGAAAATGGCTATCTACTGTAGTTAATAGTGTTAAGGATCCTTTGCCTGTTAAAAGAGGGGAAAAGCAACAAAAGATGAGCTGCAGGGTTATGTTGGTGAGCAGAACCATTGTATGTTAATGGTTTTCTTTCATAAAACACTACTCTCCATTGATTTTTTGGGGGGGGGAGCAGGTGCAGTTTTGCTGAGAAAGCATTGCACACACGTTCCCACCGGTGGTCTTTTCTCCTCCAGCGCCCGTTTTATTAAACACTGAGGATCATAGAAAGAATTCCGGCAATGCGAAAAGCAATTTATTGCTCATATATATATTTTTTAAAGGTACACACACAGTCGGAGGTCATCATTTTGCTAACATCCAGATTTGTTTCCCACAGCCCCTCAGTACCAAGGCCCGTTCTCGGTGACCAGCAACTTGACAGTGGTGTGTGTCAGCTGGGCCGACTCCTTCCTCCTGCACGGCCCGCTGAAGGAGTTCGTGCTGACCGACGGGGGCCAGCACGTGTACCGTGGCCTGGACACCACCCTCTACATACCGAGGACTGGGGACCGCAGTGAGTGTCGGGCTTTTATACCTCAGTGTGGAAGGCGCTCAGGTCCCTAGCGTCACGAGATGGTCACTCTGAACCGTGGCCAGCAGGGCCTCAACGGCCACTTCAACTTTTGGGTCCCTTCATGAGAACTTACACCTGTAAGTTTCAAAGGAACAGGTGCAGACCATATGCAGAACAAGATACACTCTGTGTACCATCCTTTCTCCTCTGATAATTCTTTTTTAATTGTTACTGATTTCAGAGAGGAAGGGAGAGTGATAGAGAGATAGAAACATCAATGATGAGAGAGAAACACTGATCGGCTGCCTCCTGCACGCCCCCTACCGGGGATCAACCCCGCAACCCGACCATGTGCCCTGAGTAGGAATTGAACAGTGACCTCCTGGTCCGTAGATCGACGGTCAATCACTGAGCCACATAGGCCAGACCGTGATAATTCTTTTACTTTGCTATATAAGCTCTAAACTTCCCTAGTTCTGTTACACACACACACACACACACACACACACACACACGCTATTAGTGCACTAATTGTAGCTCCATAATTATACAATTAGAAATCGGTTTGCATATTGGGTGAAACCTCACCATTGCCCTGGGATTCTGGTTTCGGACGTTTTCCTGCTGTTCTTCTAAGAGTGAGCCCCCTGCTTGTGGGTGTGGATGACCGAGTCCCTTACCTTCTGTCCAGCCTTCCTTTTCCAGGTCACGTGCACCACAGAGGAAGGAAGCGTCAAGACGCCTCTGATCCAGTACGACCCCTCCACGGGCCTCGGTAAGCACCTGCCTCGCGTCACGTCTAGGGCACCACCTGCTCCTTTTCCTAAAGAAACATGGGGGTGTTCGCACACATGTGCTGATATGTTACCATAGATGCTTGGAAGGAATTGTGTGAAGGGTCAAAGGAAATCTTCAAAAGTCGTCCTGGAATGGACGTGAGGTAAGCAGTTAGATAGACTCTTCAGATGCCAATCGTTGACTTGTAGGTAGAGATCAGCTTCCCTCTTACGCAGACGCTGCAGGGAAAGAGCTGCGTATACACCCTTGTTCCCCCGAGACAGTGATTCGTAGAGAAAGTCACAGGGAAGAGATCAGAGGAAGAGAAAAGGCTCCGGTGCCAATCCGTGCTGATCACAGCGGCAATGTTCCAGATTCCGAACCTAAACCGGTGATTTGGGGAAATTTCTGTCTTGTATCCTCCGTGAAAGATGGCGATCAACCATCAATACCAAGTAATGTAGCCAAAGAGAGAGAATTGCAACATTTTGGAACATCTTTTATTTTTAAATGTATATTTTTATTGATTTCAGAGAGGAAAGGAGAGGGAGAGAGAGATAGAAACATCAATGATGAGAGGGAATCATTGATCGGCTGCCTCCTGCACGCCCCCTACTGGGGATCGAGCCTGCAACCCAGGCAGGTGCCCTTGACCGGAATTGAACCCAGAACCCTTCAGTCTGCAGGCTGACTCTCTATCCACTGAGTCAAACCAGCTAGGGCTGGAACATCTTTTAAATTGAGTTCTACCCACAACCTTTGAATCTAACATCTGTGAAACTTGACAGTTTCAAAGGGCACGTTAGAGAGGTGCCCAGCCTTTCCCATTAGCAGGAATTGGACGGACACCCTGTTCTGCAGTCCAGTCAGTACTGTCATGTCAGATTTGCGTACATAGTTGGCTTTTCTCTTAATAACATGTCCTATTATTCTGAAACTCAGGTGACCATTCAGATTGTTACCAAGGGTGGTTTTAGTATGTAAAGTAATAAAATCAGTTCATTTTCCCAGGCGTTTCATGTCTGGATGCCCCGTAAACTTCTGTGAGCACCTAACACAGTTCCCCACATGGTCTGTCTCCTTTCACGGAGCAGCAGTGCCTGGAGCCGACCTCAGCTGGTATATTCAGCAACCCAGTGTCTAAAGTGGACAGACGGAGGCCTTGGGGACCCCAGAACTCACCCCGGGTGCTCCTCAGGCTTGTGCCTAAGATGAGAACTTGAACGTGGTTTTTCCGTTGGCCCCGTACATTTTTATTTTTTTTTTTTTAGCAATGGTTCTCAAATTTAAGTGAAAATAGGAGTCACCTCGCTGTGCTTGTCTGTTGCATAGTTTCCCGGGCCCCTGGCACAGACTCGGAAGCGGAGGTGCCCCGGTACCTGCTCTTTATATATATATGTGTGTGTGTGTGTGTGTGTATATGTGTATGTATATGTATATGTATATGTATATATTTTTAAAATTGATATCAGAGAGGAAGGGAGAGAAGGGGAGAGAGATAGAAACATCAATAATGAGAATCATGGATTGTCTGGCTCCTGCCTCCTGCACGCCCCACACTGTGGATTGAGCCCACAACCTGGGCATGTGCCCTGAGCAGGAATTGAACCCTGACCTCCTGGTTCATAGGTCAGCGCTCAACCACTGAGCCACACCAGCTGGGCTAGGCACCTGCTCTGTAAGTAAGCCCATCCCAGTGGACCAGGTCCCCACATTGAGCACAGCCACTGATAGGTCGAGTCCCTCAAAATGAAAGGGGACTTTGAAAAGAAAGGTTCCCCTGATGAGAAGAGGAACTCCGAGGACTGTGCAAAGTCGCAGAAAATTCCGAGATGTATTGTCCGACCAGCGTGAACAGTCAGGTCTCATTTTCATGATGCAGCTTGTTCGCTGCTGCCGTCCTCTTGCCTGGAGGCAGCCTCCCAGCAGGAAGGCCAGGCCGGGCTCCCTTCCCTCCTGTTTCTCCGAGGGCTCTTTCCTTTCCCAGGCTTTCCTCCGGCAGGCTGCCCTGCATTCCCCACGTCCTCTCAGGCAAGGGGTCCACTGGGCCCGTCAGATCGACTTCTGGGGCTGCGGCCCTGCACCACGCAGACAGGCAACTTGGCTCTCCAAGGGTACAGCCAAGGTGGCAGTTTTATTGTCATCAAACAACACACATTGGTTCCTAATTAGGGGACTTCTGACCTGTGCTGTGACCCCCTCTTCATCTTAGATGTGCGGGGAGCAGAGCCCCTGAGGCACAGGGACTCTGTCGCCACAGAGCTGTCAGAAGTGGACTTCAGGTCACTAAGTCACATCCCTTCAAACTCCCTCCCCATGTACTGCCCAACACAGGACAGGAGATGGCAGACCTGCCGCCCGGAATGACCTCCCCGCCTCTCCCCGGTCCTGCAGGCCTGGTGCTGACCACGCCCGGAGGGAAGAAGGGGTCGGAGAGCAGAGGCACCGAGTTCTACGACGAGCTGTGGTTCATCGCGCTGATGGCCGTCCTGGGCCTCATCTTGCTGGCCATCTTCCTGTCCCTGATTCTGCAGAGGAAGATCCACAAGGAGCCGTTCATCCGGGAGAGGCCGCCCCTGGTTCCCGCGCCCAAGAGGACGTCCCCGCTGAGTGTCTATCCCCCGGGGGAGACCCACATGGTTTGTCTGAAGGCCGCCTGCTTCCCAGGCCCAGACCAGAAGGCTCGCCTTTTTAGAGGGACATGTTCCCGGGGCCTTGTAACCAGGGACTGGGTGGTAGTTGTGTCTGCCCGAGCGTGAGGGCTGGGAGCCTAACTCTAGAGCAGGGGTCCTCAAACTATGGCCCGTGGGCCACATGCAAATACAAATATTGTATTTGTTCCCGTTTTGTTTTTTTACTTCAAAATAAGATATGTGCAGTGTGCATAGGAATTTGTTCATAGTTTTTTTTTTAAACTATAGTCCAGCCCTCCAACGGTCTGAGGGACAGTGAACTGGCCCCCTGTTTAAAAAGTTTGAGGACCCCTGCTCTAGAGCATTCTTTTTGTTGTTGAATCCTCACCCGAGGATATTTTTTCCATTGATTTTTAGAGAGAGTGGAGGAGCGAGACAGAGAAATATAGATGTGAGAGAGACACGTTGATAGGTTGCCTCCCACACAGGGATTGAGCCTGCACCCGAGGTACATGCCCCTGATTGGAATCGAACCCGGGACCCTTCAGTCCATGGGCCAATGCTCTGTCCACTGAGCCACACCGGCTAGGGCGAGTTTCAACACTTTCAAAGGTGGCAATGAGCGAACAGCAGCCTTGTCCGCCTCCCAGGTCTCCTTTCCCCTGGACACAGCAGGGAGCAGTGGGGGAGCCCCTGACGAGGCTGCCGTGCCCAAGGAGCAGGCGTGCTGGGGACGGGGAAGGGCAGGGTCCCTGGGAGGCCGGTGCTGTGTGGCTGGCGCAGGATGCAGCGTGTGCAGGTGTGTGTGTCCTGGTGCATGCGCATCTCAGGATGGCAGTGGGGTGTGAGCGTGCTCGGCTGTCACTGGAGAGGCACTAAGATTGTGCTGTGAAGTGCCGCCAGCGCTGACCGCCGCCTCCCCGTCTGTCCCCAGTTTGACTCCGTGGCTGATGTATCGGACGCGTGCAGCAATGTCACCCTCAAGAGCTATACCATGCACTTCGAGGTAGCTCCCTCCGTGTGCTGCGTGGGTGCATGGCCCCTGGGTGGCGTGTTGACATGAGGGGTAACTCAGAGCCCGCCCATGTTTAAGAGCAGCTAGACTTGCCTTACAGCGCGTTCTGGGGCCTCATCAGGTTCTAGGTCTTCAAGTGCCTTTGTGTTCCTGATATTAGTACCAGACCTGTTTTATTTCAGAGGCTGGAGCCTATAACAAGGGAAAGATACGGGATGAGAAGAAAGGGAGGGAGAAGTCCAATCCACCTTTTTTTTTTTTAATCCTCACCCGAAGATATTTTCCCATTGATTTTTTGGGAGAGTGGGAGAGAGCGGGAAAGACAGAAAGAAACACTGATGTGAGAGAAACACATCAATTGGTTGCCTCCTGCAGGAGCCCCGACCAGGGCCCGGGCTGGGGAGGAGCCTGCAACTGAGGGAAGTGCCCTTGAGCAGAATCCAACCCAGGACCCTTTGAAGTCCACAGGCCGACGCTCTATCTGCGGAGCCACACCAGCCGGGGCCAAGACGCACACTTTTTTAAGTGCAGTAGGAACGTGCTTCCTTAGCGGGGGCGTGGGAGGGGGGCTCACTCGGGGCGTTCCACTGATCACCGCGGCAACTTCCCCTGCAGGGATTGGCCGACACCAAGATCCCGCGGTCTGGGGCCCGAGTGAGCCTCAGGAGCAACCACAGCATCTCTGTCCTCCAGATCCCGAGCCAGAGCCAGCTCAGCCAGGCCTCCCAGGGCTCCCTGCACCGCAGCGTCAGCCAGCTGCTGGACCTGCACGACAAGAAGGTCCTGGTGGACGACGCGCTGTGGGAGACCATCATGGGCCACGACAGCGGCCTGGTGAGTGCGTTTCTCCCGGAGCCTTCGCTCAGCACCCGAGCGGGATGTCCTCCTGCACCTGCTGGGGCCTCCTGCCCCTGCTGAGGGCTGCCTCCCCCCTCACCCGGCACAGGGCACCCCTCCGACCCTTCACCCAACAGCTCACTGGTGTCGCTGTGACTGTTGGACGAGCAGGGTAGAAAAGTCGTCTTGTTTTGTTAGCAAACAATAGAGCTCAAAAAATAAACTCATGAGTAAGTGAAGAGACATACATGGTAGAAAGGACTGGAAACGTAATTGGCTCTGTTGTTTGCCATGAGCCCCCAGTGACTGGAATGAACAAATCCCCAGTTTGTACCGCCCGGCAAACTTCTTCCTTGTGCCGACTCCCTAGGTGTCTGCTGGCGGGAAGGTCCTTGGGGACAGTAGGTAATAAACAGAGCCAGCTAAGGGCTTCGCTCGCACTCCCCTCCACGGCAGAATTCGCCACCGGCATTTCTCCCACCCTCTGCTCCTGCTCTCCCCTTTCCTTCTCCCCAAGTTCTATTCCTTCACCTCAAGAGTCGCTGTCTTCCTTGAAGCCCTTCTTAACTAAGGGAGACTCTTAAAGCAAGTTCCCAGACTCCAGGTTCCAATCACAGTGACAAGATAAAACACACAGTGGGCTTATTGGGCATGATGATGTGTGATAGGCATTTCAAAATATGTATTTTTTTATTTCAGAGAGGGAGAGAGAAACATCAATGATGAGAATCATTGATTGGCTGCCTCCTGCAAGCCCCCCACTGGGGATCGAGCCCACAATCCTGGCATGTGCCCTGACCGGGAATCAAACCGCGACCTCCTGGTTCATAGGTTGATGCTCAGCCACTGAGCCACGTTGGCTGGGCATGTGATAGGCTTTGTGTGTGTGAGTGTGTGTGATAGGCTTTTTTAAATCAAGGATTTCCTTGATGTTAACAGGACCAAGTTCCACAGTTCCATCTCAGATCTAAAGTTTCTAAGTGGCAGGAATCATTGTACCAGTCTCATGTCGGATGGACATGCACGATGGCGGTTTCGGTGGCTCAGCGCAGCACAGCGAGGGCTCAGGTGCCCGTATCCTCGCCCGAGGGCACACAGAGTCCTTTTTTCATGAACTGGGACCTGAGAAACATCCTGTGACTGCAGAGCCATTTTCCACTGTCCCACGAGGGGCTATTTGTGCCTGCTGTCCAGTGCCAGGAGCAGGCAGCATGCCCAGCAGTGCCGGGACCGCTCCGGAGATGCCAGTAGGTGGCGCATTAACTTTCCTTATGATTGATATTGCTGAACCTACTCAATACACAAAGGCAGTGGGAGTGGGGAGCAGGGAGCCATAGAGCTTGCGTTCCGGCTCTTCTGCTTGCGTTTTGAACTAAATCTCAAATAAATAATTATGTATGTATGTATGTATGTGTGTGTGTGTGTGTGTGTTTATATATATAAAGGCTGCGTAAGTACTCCATTTTTAAAATGTTCTTACTTGCCCACCCCACTTGTATATATTGTCTCCACGTTGCCGACCAGAAAACAGGCTTAGGAAGATGAAGGTGTGGCACAGTGCGCTCCTCCATGACACATACATTGGCTTAGTGTGTAGCTCACCTGTGCGTGTGACCCGATGCTTCCCGTGAGTTTAAGGCGAGGGCTCCAACCACACCTCGGTGGAGCGTCGGGGATTAGAACTGCCGCTGGGTGGCGGGCGCGGCGACAGCGAGCCTGACCTAACGGGACGGCTTCTTTCCAGTACCTGGACGAGGAGGACCTGATGAACGCCATCAAGGGCTTCAGCTCCGTGACCAAGGAGCACACCACCTTCACCGACACCCACCTGTAGGGCCGCCGCCTGCAAACCGTGAGTGAGCCTGGGGGTGGCTGCACGCCCCATTCCCGCGCCGTCTCCCTGACACACCAGAGGCAGAGCCGCTGCTTGTCATCTGTCATCCTTGAACGACATGAGGACGGTCCCCCTAGCAGAGGTCTAGGAGAGGGGGTGGTTCTGGTGTCTGAAACAAAGGGTGCCGAGCACACGAAAACCCTCATTGTGAGGAAGCTGAAAACTCCACTTTTCACCTGGCCCTGGCTCTGGCAGAGAGACCACAGGTAAAACCATCAGTGGGCGCAGGGCTGTTACCAGTGAGAGAAGTCAGTAGTCTCAGGGCGAAGTGATTCCGAGAGTATGTCCCTGCGGGTCCCAGGACCCTGTAAGGAACAGCTATTCCAATGGTCACAGCCGCAGAACCAACCCCGACTTCAGCCCAGCGAGGTCATTCAGAGGCCACACCCTTGGGGAAGGGTTTGTACTTGGTTACACTGTTCAGGGACATTCCCCGACCGGCCCCAGCATCACAGAAGGATCTGTTCCCAACAGCCTTTCACTCTTGCAAAAGGCTTTTCTCACTTTCCCACCCAACTGTTATGTGACTGACGAGAAAGAAGGGACAGATAATTACAGCCCTTAGTAATACCGATCTTGTGCTTCACTGGCAACATAAGTTACTTTCATACGTATTAAGTTCTCCCTCTCGCCTCCCTTTTTTGTTATGGGAAGAAGACATGGACAGACGCATGTAAGTACACTTTAAACAGCTGTTCCTAAAACAACTGAAAACACAGGTAGTCTTCATCATTTTTATTTTACTTGATAAATAAATACAAGAGAACGGTTGTGAAACCACTGGCAATATGGTAAACTTTAAAGCATTTATTCAATTTTACTCACTTATTTCCTGGAATGAGAATATATACATTTTTCACCAATAAATGCTTAATGCTTCACAATTACCCTATTTGCAGATACTTGAAAGTCATTCCAATCACATGGAAAAAAAATACAAAAAAATTATCTTTTATTCTTACAATTTAAAATATATTCAAAATAACTTTTTTGCAGCAGCCCAAACCTTTGACAAAAATTTCAGAGCTGTAGTCTCGTAAGCATCTATAGGCGCAAGCGGCGGACCTTCCCCACGCGCATGGATAGTCGCAAACCTCGCATATCAACTCTGGTCGCCCAATTTTAAAATCAGACTTGTTAGTGACATCTCTGGGTTTGTAAAGAAAATGATGGTAACTTAAATTCGTAAATATTCCAGCGCATATGGAAGAAAGGGGGATGGTTCTGTTTTGGACGTGTGGCAATTAAGTGATTAACAAAGTAGCCACGTTCTGATTTAATAGTTTGGATTATTAACACGGTGGCTCCTACACGAGGCAGACTCGCCCTTGGTAGTGTTCCCTTCTGGGCGCTCATAGCTTTGTCCTTATCATTCCATCTGTTCAAACACAGACAACTGCTCCCACTTGAAAGAAAGTTGAAGTGGACTTTGGGCATTTACTATTGGTGATGCGTGCTAAGATTTAAGACCTACACTTACAAGTACCCTCAGCGACTCTGCCACCAGGGCAGCCTGGTGTTCAACATCAATAGTGTTTTGAGTGACACGGTATTTTTCCACAAACATAGCACCTCGTTAAGTATCAGGTAAACACTGTGCAATCACAATTAGGGTGAGAGACTAAGTTCCACGCAGAGAAGGCAGGCCTCAGGCATCATCTACGTGAGGAATGTGGGCGGTTGGATCCCATGTTCTCAGGGGGGCTCACCGATACGGTGCCATCTGGTTAAGGTGGGGTGGTTCCTACACGTATTTCTGAGCTCCCTGGACTAGCTTTACAAATGATCAATTGAACGTGCTTGTAAACCTAAAAATAATCTTCAAAAAGGTCAAAGAGCTCTAGTTTTTTTCTCATTACTCCATCTCATTCTGTGAAAAAGATACTAAGTGAAGTCCGACGTTTTTGTCAAGTTTTGGTGTAGAAGCTAGTGTACTGGATCCAGGAGCTGGACTTCCATCTACAGCAGGGGTGGGGAACGTCCGGCCCACAGGCCGCACGAGGCCCTGCCTGGGCCTGGGTGGCGAGGCCATTACATGTCCGACCACATGCAGCAGGCTCACGTTGAAGTTGGTAATTCGTATGGCCTGCACGTAATGTCAAATAGCCAAAGGGCCCTTGGCAGGAAACGGTTCCCCACCCCTGCTCTGAATGAACAACACCCCTACCTGCCAGGTGAGCTCACAGGCTGTACTCCTGCCCCGAGGAGTCGCTCTTCTTGTGCCGAGGGGACGGTGTGGTCTTGGTGGGAGAGGGGGACGCGGTCCCGGGCGAGTCGGTGCCTCCATCGGAGGTGCTGGGCGAGGAGGCCAGGTGGGGCCCTTTCTTCCTGCCCAGGAGCCCTCCTCCGTCGAACCCGCCTCTCTTGCGGAGCTCCCCTTTGTCACCGTCATCCTCGGGCGCCCTCTTCTTGGGTTCCGGGGCAGCTTCGGCTGCTCTGTGCGCTTCCGACCCACCATCGGACTCTCTCGCACTTCTCGTTTCGGCTCCAGGAGCCTTGCTCTCGGCCCCAGCACAGTCCCCCGCCGCCCGCTTCACCTCCGCCTGGATGGGGCCCGAGGTGGCGTCTTCGGGCACAGCGCGCTCCAGGTTTCTGTTCAGGTTGAGGGTCTGGAAGTCGCGGTAGCTGTGGAAGCTCTCAGTCCTCCGCGCCCGGGCTAACAGCGGGCTCTCCCGGTACGGCCGCATGGAGCCATACGTGGCTGCCTCGTGGATGGTCTCATGCTGCTGCAGCTGGAGGCTGGAACAGGTTTAGAAATCACAGGTCAGGAATTAAACCACAGTGTACGCACGTGACATAAATATGTAAAGACACTATGTTCTTGTTCTTATTTCTGTATGTAAAAATACATTTAAGTACTTTATAAAATTGCGTGTGTATAAACTACCCATGCAAATATCCCAGATGTAGTCAGTGAAGCGGGATTCTGTTTTCAATTACAGTGGCATAAAGTATGTATTGGTTCCAGGTGTACAACAGTGATCAGACCTTTATGTAATGTACAGCGTGACCCCCCGTAAGTCTAGGACCCATCTGACTGTACAGTGGAACCTCGTTTCTCGAACAATTTGCTTCTCACCCTGACAACCCTTCCCCGCTGACGCCTGTAGGATCGGCCTCGCCTCCCTCAGGTGATTAAGGAGAGAACGCACAAATATGCATTTTAGCAGTTTCTCTCGACTAAAATCTCAAGAATATCGTGCTGTGAATATTTGTGTTTTGCTTTCGTTGCTGCTTACAATTGTTAAATTTTCATGTCCCTTTTAAAGTGTTTGTGTATAGATTACACAGTTCATTAGCCATGTACTATATAGAAGAAAGGTTAAAACAGGGAATCATTGGGGGGTCTGGAATGGATTATTTCTAATAGGAAGAAATGATTCGCTTTTCCAACAGCCCCTGACACAAATCAAGCTCGAGAAATGAGGTCCCACTGCATTCCCTATGCTGTACTTCAAGCCCTCGTGACTGTTCTTGTAACCCCAGCTAAGTTTCTGGAAAGCTGGGGGAAAGGGCTTTAAAACGACAGTAGAACCAACGTAATTCAGTATCAGGCCTTCAGTTTAGATTTGAATTTTTTAAAATACATTAACTAAAAAGATATGCCATTGTCTTAAAAGTACATAATGCATGCAAATTCCGAATCGTTGTGTTGTACACCAGTAACTACTGCAGTGCTGTATGTCAATTACACCTCAGGAGAATAAGTTACATAATGTTAAGATCAGGAACAAAAATGCCACATACTATCCAAGGTCACAGATGACTTTTCTGATTTCCTTTGAATGATTCTCGATCACAAAACAGGCACCCAAATGAGCAGAAATTCACAAAATAAGGTAAAGGGTAAAAATGTCTTCCTATGCAAAGAACCAGATGCATGCAGTGGAGACATTTAGTGAGAACAGTTTTTTTGAACTGAACAGCAACGTAAAGTGTGACTTTGCAATGTCGCTAAAACCCCAGGCTTTTATGTACTAGTCCCCCCCAGAGCAGCCCCGCCCACCTGGAGCTGGCCTCGCGGAGCCGGCTGTGCTGCACCACGGAGGCGGCCGGGCTGATGCTGGGCGTGGCGCAGCGGGAGGTGCTCAGGTCGCACTGGTCCAGCAGCTTCAGCAGCTCCTCCTCCGTCGGGCCGCCTGCATCTGAGGAAGCACAGGATTACACCGCGGCCTGCGCGCGCCCCGTACCCGGGTCTCCCGCGAAACCTACCCTTGTCCTCGCTCTTGCTGACCATGTCCATGGCGGTGGTCAGGTCCCACATCTGAATGCTGCCGTTGGTGTGGCCGGTGAACAGGTAGCGCCGGGGCCGGGAGCCCATCCTGCTGGAGCCCTCGCACTCCCGCACGGTGAAGGCGGAGATGGTCGTGCAGTCCACGGCTTGGATCTCACATATTCTGTAAGCGACGGCGCACAGTCGTAAACCACGGGACAGACAGCATTGCAGATAAAGTAATTCCAAAATCTGAATCACAGAGTCAGAGTTGAACACACCACATACATAAACAGATGTAAAGGGGGCAAGGCAAGTCACAGGAATCAAAGTTAACCTTTGTTTCTTTGAGTCTCATGAAAAGGTTCTTATAAAATAATGTAGTAAAAGTCATCGAAACCAGGCAAATAATTTCAGTCATTCTTGGAAGAGCCTTGGTAAGACATGAGCAGTTCTTTCAAAGGAAGTTATAGACATTCACTAGAAAAGATGATGGAAATAATTTAAGATTTATGTGTAAATTATAAACATCTGAAACCAGAAGCCATGTGCAGCGGTGCCAGAGGCCTGCAAGCACCCGCCATTAGGATGATACTCTGACCTCTCAGAGCCTGAGCTGTCTGTAAGCAGAAGGCTTCGAATTAGCTGCTTAAGGGGCTGCTGTTCTATTTCTGCTTTTTTTTTATAAATGTAGCTTTTCCTATGGAATCGTAAAGTTAACAGGTATAAACTAACTGTAGTTGGTACAACACATTGCTACTGTGTGAGCTAGAGAGGAGGAAGGAGGTTAAACCTGAACAAGGAGATGAAATACTATGTTGTCAGAGGTTGTTACAACAGCAGTTTTAATAAACATTTGGCAGCTTCTTCAAATATGCACAGAACACAGTGATTTATAACATTTCTCAAGGTATTAATTTCGTCTTGTATCTTATAGGCTTTAGTACATAGAATGTTCCAGAATCAACTCATGCAATGAACTTCGATAAAAAATTTATCATCTCAGATTTTATTAAAATAGTAAGAAATTATAAATAATATGCTGAAGGATAACCGAGAAATTATTAAAAGCAGAGTAACATTAATATGAGTATCCATAACTTTCTTAATAAGTACTAATAGGAATTTTGACATGCAAAAAGGTGTTATGTCTTTAAAGAAGAGAAATGTTATAACTCAATGTGTCTGAGGCGATAACATTTTTAAAACAGTCAAATGGACAAGGAAGAGGAAACTAACTTCTACTCGGCATCTATACTAGTTAGGGCTACACCGGATAGGTCATATTTCTTACTCACTTGATCCTATGCCATCCTACAAGGTGGGGACCTTCTTTTATAAAGAAACTGGGGCTCCGAGAAACAAAGCAACTGAGGGTGAGTGTCGGCAGCTGGTGAGAGGAAGCGCCAGAACCCGAGTTCAGGTCAGCTGCCCGCCTCCCACTCCTGTTTGCTCTGCCGTCACTGGTCCTTCCTAACTGTCCGGCATCAGAGGAAATCTTAAGTGTATCCTAGAGAACAAGCACTCGATGTCCTGCCCTGGTTCCAAGGTAAAGCAAGGCCAGGTAGTGGGCAGACTCCTCTCGGCAGTGTGTGTGCCTGCACTCTCATCAGCGATTCAACACTGTGTTGTCTGAGGAGGAGGAGTCCTGAGCAGGACCCCGCCCAGCAGCCTTACCTCTTCCCCGTGGAGGACAGCCTGACGAACAGCTTGTTGGTGATGGGGACCACTTTCTGGATGAACACCTGCTGATCATCTCGCTCACCAAAGGGCCCTTGATCAGACGATGCCAAAAGAAGTTCAAGTTTAAATGGTTTCATTTAACATTAATACTGGGGGGGGGGGGGGGGTTTTTTTTTTCACGCCTGTCAATGTGGCCTTGCATTCCACGTCAAAGAGACAAAATGCAATGATGCGAGGACTTCAACTTGCATTAAAACATTTTTAAGAAATGCATGTTTCAAAACTGTTGTGCAGTGAGGCTGTTAAAGCTGAAGGCAGGAATAAGCTTAGGAGTGAGTGTCCATGGTCAGTGCCCGTGGGAACCCGGGACGCATAAGCTCCACCTTCACTCACCACCTTTGAGAATGTGCTCAGTTCCTTTTATGTATTGACTTTTGGGGTGGGGGTGGGGGGGCAACATGCAAAATCTTAAAAATAAAGTGCAACCCCATTCAATAGAATTTAATGAATCAGAAGCCTGTTGCTCCCTGCAACGTTTTCTTATCTAATTAAGGAAAAGATTCAATTATTTTCACTTGGTTGTACTTGGCAAGGCAAATCATTGACTCATCCATTTTAGAAAGATTCTTAACATAAAAGTGTTTTCATAAAAAACTTAAATGTAATATTTTAATAATTCTCTTATCCTGTCATACTCAATAGCTAAAATAATAAAAGTATTATTCACAAAAGTATATGATGTACACCACAATATAATTCACACATTACCTTATGTGAATCATACCTAATGAGATGAACAATTACATCTTCATTAAAGAAATAAAGTGCTCCAATTCGCATAAGCATCATGGCTTTTAATTATAAACAAAAATGGTTAGCATTTGGAGATATGTACTAAATTTGTTTTAAGTGGATTTCATAATTTAAATCTCACTTGCAGGTTTCTACTGCTGTTCACACACTCTGCCCCGGCCACACGGGATGTGAAAGCCGACAACGCTCACCGATGTCGTTCCCAGAGGAGTAGCTGCCGGGACTCTCCGTCTCCTCCAGAGACAGGATCTTGAACGAGGCGAGAGGAGTGGAGCCGGGCTGAGTCGAGATCATGCCTCTGAACCGTGTCACCGTCCACGTCCGGACGTGATTGTTATCTGCACAGACTAGGAGGAAGAACACCGAGGAGCTAGTAAATACGGAGCTATAAGCACCAGCAAAACACTTTCACAAACACACTAGCTTTTTCACTGTGATCACCACTGAATAGATCATAGCACATCTTTTGGAGTGGCAAATGGCATGTTTATCTTAAAATTATACTTAATTTGAGAGAGCTGAATATGGTTTTTCCTTCTGCACATGTAAGGTATGTAAGTACATCTATAGACCCTCATAAAAGTAGCCTATAGAGTAGAAAAGGTTAAAGAAAAGTATTTGTAAGAGAAAAGATAGTAAACAAGTTGCCTAGTTTGTTTTTTAAACCACAGAAACTCTCCTTATGTTACTCAGATATTAAACAACCTAGACCAGGAGCAACTGAAAACGTGTCGTCACAAATGACATTTGTCAGAAGCTATTAGGAACCCACTGATAGTTACATGAGGAAAATTAAGATCCCTATAAAGCTGGGAACTATTTTTATATCAAGTAAGAGTATGTATTTTAAAAATATACTCTAACTTCATTTACTTTTTCATATAAATATTAAGTGGGCATATACTGAGATAATCCTAACAAGTAGCCTCTCTTTTTCCCCCTTTGGTCTGAACACATAATGATACTTTTTGGCTTATATTTTTAAATTACTGTAAATTTTGTGGCATACCTTAATAAAAATGTATACTAATTTGACATGATTTCAGAAACTTGTTATTACCAATAAGTTATGAACTCATCAGTAAATACTAGGAAAACATCTGAAATTAACTGTAGATATACAACGGTTTTTACTGGAAAAATGCCATAGTTGCACATTTTAAAACTTTAGAAAGAAATTTAATTTTGGCTAATTGCAATAGAAATAAAAAATGTACAAATGTTACTTAGGTAACAAAATTCTCAATTCTCACAATACCAGCTTTCTGTTAAAAAGACATTTAGTTCTAGGCTGTTTATTCAGCTTCATGGGAAATAATATCCTGATTTCACTATTAACCCAAGGACTCAGAAAAATTTAAAAATCTTTAAAATTATGACAAATTTTGTTATTTGGTTCAAATGAGGAACTATGGCAATTTTGTTAATTAAAAACTTCATACTATTAAGACATAAAAACAAACACTATGGCAGCGGTTCTCAACCTGTGGGTCGCGACCCCTTTGGGGGTCGAACCACCCTTTCACAGGGGTCGCCTAAGACCATCGGAAAACACATATATAATTACATATTGTTTTTGTGATTAGTCACTATGCTTTAATTATGTTCAATTTGTAACAATGAAAATACATCCTGCATATCAGATATTTACATTACGATCCATAACAATAGCAAAATTACAGTTATGAAATAGCAACGAAAATAATTTTATGGTTGGGGGTCACCACAACATGAGGAACTGTATTAAAGGGTCGCGGCATTAGGAAGGTTGAGAACCACTGCACTATGGGAAAAAGAATGTCATTACATTAATACCAGTATATACATATTTTTTACACTTATATTGATGTCCACCAGGTGGCAGAATAACATAACTGAGCACTGCATACATAAAGTACTCCAGATTTGTGGCTAAGGTGGACATTTTTCTTGACAAATTTACTTAAATTTCAAACTGACATGAAATAGTGGATATTAAAATGCAAGTTTTACTATGCAGTTCTTTGGCACATGCTACAATATCACCTCCATCAAAATAACAGCAATTACTGCTGAGATTTCTAAGCACTGTCATGCAAAACAGTCTTTCTCACAGGGCCAAATGGCCTGACCCTCTGCCTCCCTCTTGTAGAGGTTTGCAGTCAGCTCTGCCGCAGAAGCTAGTTCTTCACACACGAGAGGTGCCGACTTGAGGAGGGGACATGTGGGCTTGGTTTCGGATCTGGCTGCGGCCCTGGGCCTGCAGACTTCTCATCGAGTGCAGTGATGCAAGTACTTCGACTTGCATTAAAAATGTTTAAAGAAATACTTATTTGTAAAAAATGGTATTTTGTATTGAAGGCAAAAATATGCCTAGGAATGTGCACGAGGCTGCTTTGCTGGTCTTCGGGTTTGTGAAACTAGGGAATCCCCAGGCACGGTTCCGCGAGCGGCCTCCAGCAGGGACCCCCCCCTTACCGGACACGAGGTGCTTCTCGGACAGCATGATCTTGGTCACGGGGCTGCGGTGCACGGTGAAGGTCTGGAAGAGCTGCGGGCCCGACCCCACCGTCTCGGGGTGCTGCACGATCACCCGCACTGCCCCAGAGCTGGTACCGTAGGCGATCTCAATCCAGTTCCCACTGACACCTGGGGCGCAGGGGAGGGAGAGGCACATTAGGCCACAATAAACCATGACGGAAGCTGCCCTCGCAAAGCTCCCCTGCGAGTGGGGCAGAGCAGACCCAGTGCCCCACCAGCCCCATCGGCCCAGTCAGGAACCGGGGACTCCCTGACCCTCCCCTGCACTGTGTCGGGTTCTCACAGCAGCTCTCACACACGGATCATCTACTCCCGTCTACCCACCTCTACTCCTCGATGGACAGAAGCCTAATCACCTTTTTATCCAGGTCACCCTGTAGAGTGCCCGAGACATCATAGGTATTTTTTAAACATTTATTGAGCAACACATCGGATGCAAAGCCATAGTCTGTGTTCCTGCTAGCCCCGCAGGACCATCTCTTGTACTTTGCTGCAATACAGAATTTTCCTGGAGGAGTCGAGTGGTGTATATAGTATATCCTATTTTACAGTTCCAAAACCCTTCACCCTGGAACACACACCCCCCACCTGGTTACATCACACTCACCGCGCTGTCTCTATCTAACCTTGCCCAGCTCCTCCCGTCAGGCCATCTGTGACTCTGTTTCTACACAACTGCCCAGGCCCCTCCCAGAGTTAAAGAAGGATGGGGTTCAGTGGCCTGTCCTCTTCAAGAGCTTCCGATAGGGAGCCTCTGACTCTACCAGCTCCTCGCCTGGTTCCCCTCAATGCCTGCAGGCCCTGGAAAGCACTTCTCCTGGCCTGTAGGCGGCTCCTGCCTCTGCGGAAGCAGCGTAGCCTCTAATTTAGACAAAGGAACTGCTGCTCACTCTGCAGAGGGCAAGCTTGCTGTGAAGGGCCGAGCAGCAAAGATTCTAACCTGTGTACCCACACTGTCCATTACAGCCACAGAGGAGCCAGAGATGGCCTGGAAAGCGTTAATGAAGAGCACCTGGCCTGGCTCACTGAGCCCAATACAGTTAAAATCTCACCTCAGTCTCAATCCAAACCCCCTGGTGCACTAGAATATTGTTTTTTTTCGGACCAAAGATTTATTTCCTTTAGTGAAATACATAAAATGACATTTTATCAGTAACTTTCAGACCTATCGATATCATTGTGCACATTTCCTAAAAATCCTTTCATTACTGATAATTTAAAGTTCCCATGTATGTTTACTGTTCACCCCAGAATATAAAAATTTTGTAATTTACAGAACTTGTTAATTGCATTGCAAAGGCCTTTGAAAGGCAATGAAAGTTATAGACACTGAACTTCCAAATAAAATGCCTTTCCAGAACTTAAATTTGAAATCTGCAAAGGAAATAAGCTCAGCTCTGTCCAATAAAGATGAGCAGTCTAAGAGCTTTTGTCTCTGGTTAAAAAATATAAAGCCTCCTAATTTCAAAACAAAATCAGCTACTGCAATAGGAAGGTCAATGTGTCAATATTTTGGTAATTTGGGCTGATGCTGGAGGAGGAGGCAGGTGCCATGTCACACCCCCGCTGCTGCCTGTCTCTGGGCCATGCCTGACTTCCACATGAAAGCAAGTGTAATCCTGCAGACGGAGAGGGAGCCCCAGCGCTGCAATGGAGGAAGAACGCAGGGCACCTGCGGGCACTGACTTGTTTTGGGGGTGAGGTAAACGCTCAGCGCTGTGATGGCGTCGTTGGAAGGGTCGTGGTAGAGTTCAGTCACCAGGAGATCGTTGTCCTTCATCCGCAAAGGGAACTTCTGCATGTCTGAAAACAGAAACGCTCAGGTCATGTCGAACCAACAGTGCGTTTATTTAACACTAAAGAAGGTGATGTGTTCTTGTCGTTTAAAAGAGCCCCGGGAAGCAGGACGTGCTCACTCACCGATGTAATAGATGGACCCGTTGTTACACCCGAGCAGAAGGAACGACCCAGCAGTGTCATAACTAGTTATGGGGACGACATCTTGAACCTGATGTGGCGAGATTGTCATCAGATGCCAGATATTAATTACAATTTATTTTCTCCATTTTCTCAAAATTCTTTTAATAATAAAACACCAATATTCACTGTAAGTGGGGCTTAGAAATGGGCGTTTCGTACGTACACACATGCGCGCGCACATGCACAGCGAATGGTGAAGAACCACGTACGTGATTCCCTTTAAAGCTTTTAAAAATGTGAATTTCCACAGGGGCACGTTCCTTTCAGAATTTAGAAGGATTCTCTCTTTCTGCACATGGTTCTGAGACCGCAGCACTCTGAGGACTGGAAGGCCAGGTCTGAGCAGGGCACACAGCGATCAAGGCCTGCTCAGTCACCTAGTGAGGGCAGACTTAGACCAGAGCACAGATCAAGCGACTTCCGCATAGTACGTCTTCCCTTGATAACCTTCCTTTCTGTGAAAAGAGCTCCCCTACTTTCACTCTGCCCACTGCAGGCTTCACCTTGTTTCCTAGGAAAGGGCATTAAGGCAAATACGCTTCATGTTTTGTTTTTTCAAGCACTAGAATAAAAATTCAGTTTCCAAGCAGATCAACATAGTTGCAAATTAATAGCTGCCTATATTTGTGCTAAAAGAAAAGCAAAGGGCATGATTTTTACTACAAAACCAAACCGAAAGTATGGTTTGCCAGAGCAGAGTAGTGACAATAAGGAAGATCCCATGCTCTTCCCTGGGCACAGCTAGGAGGTGCGCGTGAAACCTCACAGGTGCCACTCGATGCCATGCTCTCCACGGACCAGGCACTCCAGCACGGGAAGAGGAATGCAGAGGCTTGTGCATTTGTGGGCAACAAGAAAAATAACGACAATGCAGTGCGATCGGCTGGCAATCGGTGTGCAGCACGATCAGAGGGGGGAGGCGGCTCATTGAGGCCCAGCAAAGGGCATGATTTTTACTACAAAACAAAACCAAACCGAAAGTATGGTTTGCCAGAGCAGAGTAGTGACAATAAGGAAGATCCCATGCTCTTCCCTGGGCACAGCTAGGAGGTGCGCGTGAAACCTCACAGGTGCCACTCGATGCCATGCTCTCCACGGACCAGGCACTCCAGCACGGGAAGAGGAATGCAGAGGCTTGTGCATTTGTGGGCAACAAGAAAAATAACGACAATGCAGTGCGATCGGCTGGCAATCGGTGTGCAGCACGATCAGAGGGGGGAGGCGGCTCATTGAGGCCCAGCTCGGGGGGGAGGGCAAAGGCCAAGGAAACATGCAGAACAGTGAAGCTCGGGAACTGGACAGTCACCGGGGAAGGGGGGGGGAAGGACGTGCTGACAGAGCAGCAAGTGTGAAAGCGCAGAGCCAGGCCCATTCCTGTGGAAAGGGAAACGGAAAAGGAGCTAAAATTTGCAACTCAAACCACGTCAAGGAAATAAGAAATGGCAAATCGCAGTTTAAACACTTTTTGCAGAATGACTTCAAATTCTTAAAAACAGTCAAATTTTATCCAGAAGCAAATTTGCCGCTAAATATATTCACTTATTCTGTAAAATCAAACGGAAACAAAATGAACTCCACAACAAGCAAACAGATGCACAGTCAGCAGGAGTTTCAGACGCTCTCCTGGCTGCCACCTGCTCCAGGTAGAACTCACCTGCCAGTGCTGAGTGACGGCGTTCCACACGCCCACCTTCCCCGTGTGGCTCGTGGCCACCAACTGGTTACCGATGAAGAAGAGAGCGTCTACGGGGACGCCGAGGCTGAACACTCCTAAGACAGTAAGAAATAACGAGGCTGATCAGTCATCAATCAAACCCAAACCTTAAAAACATCTTAAAGGCGACTATTTTTAACCTAGGCTCATGTCAACAAATTAGGTGCTAAACACTTTGGGGACCAGAAAGAAGCAACTCTTCAGCAGCTTACACACCCCTAAAGCAGACAGACAGCTGCCCCAAGTCCTGGCACACCTACAAGACGGCCTGTCATCGGAAGCCGTGGTTCCCGCACCTGTTGATCATTCCGATTTGCCGGGTAGATTTAAAACGAACAAAATAAAATAACCGGCCCCAGGAGCTATGCCAGGCCCCTCAATCAGAAAGCCACTGCGCTGCTACAAAGTACATGGAGATTTAGCTGCAGCTCATGGACCAGATGTCTGGGAACCACTGGTCTGAGGAATACAGACTTGGGACCCTCAATGATCTAGAACCTGGAAATAAGAAGAAAAAAAAAAAGGATGTGGGGGGGGGGGGGGGGGGGACAAACAAAGGAGTCATTCAACACTCAGAAACCCAGGCCTTGACTCCGCTTGTCTAAACCCCTCGTTTCCCAGCAAGTAGATGTCAGTGTAATTTATACAAAAGGCACTATGTTAGGCCATGGATTGACAACACAAGCCAGGAGCTTATGGTATAAATCAGGGGTCCTCAAACTACAGCCCGCGGGCCACATGCAAATACAAATATTGTATTTGTTCCCGTTTTGTTTTTTTACTTCAAAATAAGATATGTGCAGTGTGCATAGGAATTTGTTCATAGTTGTTTTTTAAACTATAGTCCGGCCCTCCAACGGTCTGAGGGACAGTGAACTGGCCCCCTGTTTAAAAAGTTTGAGGACCCCTGGTATAAATAGAGGAAAAAATGCCAACAGCCAATTAGAGCATAAGGTAACAGTAACAGAAGATACACAGGTATAAACTACCCAGAGAGGTCCAAGGGGTAGGAAGGGTTTGAAAATATTTCTTAGAAAAGAAGCTGTGTGAGTGGGTTTTTAAAAAGGTGAGCAGGAGTTCATCAACTGGGGAACTGGGCATGGGAAGCCCAGGGAATCTGAGGAAAGGGGGAGGGGGAGTAGTGAGGGAGGTTGGAAGGACCAATATTCCACACTGAGAGGAGCGTGACGTCTGACCCAGGGAAGCCTGGGCTGCCCTGGGCGCGGACAGCTGGGGAGGGCCCCTGGCTCTCGGGAGGCTGCCCGCCCCCTTCCTGGTTCTTGCTCGCTCATCTCTAAAGCAGCTGCAGTGAAGGTCTCGGTGTCTAGTTCACCTTCAAAATGTCACAATCCAATTTTGACACAAATAGTATTACCTTAGTTATTTGAAAAACACTTTATGAAAACTGTCTTTTTATCCAAAAATAATGGGAAAATACCTCACCTGTGTAATGTGGTTTTTAAGCTGTGTCACATATCAGTTTACTTTTTAAAAAAGTACCTATTATGTGACTACATGAACAATTTTCCCAGCATCTAGCTTAGAAAAAACAAGGCATTGAAGAAGTCATCGGGAGAAACAAACCATTAAATGCAATAGCAGCATGTATTAAAACCGTAAGCCGGGAGAAAGAACTGATTTCTTTTGAACTGTATGTACACCTGTAGCAGGTATGCCTCTTTCTGTGCAAACCTGTACTGCACACCAACAAGACCAGCAGCAATCAATAACCCCGTGAAAAGTCTTAACCAATCTTAAAGCCAGGCATCTCTCAGGAATAAAAATGATCGACACTGGACGAAAAGAAAGAAAAAAACACTGCTATTGATAGAAATGTCTCATATATATATATTTTGTATGTGTAAGTACATATTTATGTACATGAATATACTATTTTAGTCCAACCAAGAAAAAAAAAACCAGCAGCAGCAAAATAAAATTAACACACAAAAAAGCTCAGCCCTTTGGCCAGAGCTGGCTGAGAAGGAAACTTGCCACTTCAAATCAGAATCATCACTTCACGTGCAATTTCAAGAATTCTTATGGAACAGGACTTTCATTTTGATGTCAAAACAATTGTGCAGAGCATGCGAAACATGCGAAACTACCTGCAGTATCACGGGCTCGGCAAAAGGTAGAAACAAAACCAGGAAAACCAACCTACGTGGACTACTCTAGAGAGACGAGGGCCTGGGAAATCGAGGAGGACGTTCTGAATGACCAAGACATTTAAAGTGTCACTGATGCTTAGGCCCCGCAACCTGACCACCATCCACAGGGAGGGCAGGATAAGCAATGACAAGGCCCCATCCTGAGGGGCCCGCTGGGTGACACAGTGCCGGCAGCCGCCACCAGGAGCACTGCCCTGCTCCCTTGAAGTCACAGGGAAGGGAGGGCAGCCCGTCACGGACACACCAGCCTGACCACCTCCCGGATGCTGTTGTCAGGCCCTGGAGAACATGTGATAGCGAATGGTCTCTTACGAAGTGTGAACAATTACTATGTAGGGTCTCACAGCATAGCTCCTACCCCATGAGCCTGTGCAAGCACAGCACAGCCAGCAAGCTCCTTTGCTCACTGGTACATCACAGGGGCAGTTTGAGAAAGAAAGAACACACACCACACCCGACTCCCTTTCTGGGTCATTATTCCCTTTTCCACTCATTATCTTAGGAGAGTACAGGGTCCAGGCTACGTGACCTGTGCTAAGGTCTTACGTTTTCTAGAATCTCTGGTGGTAGGGTTAGGGGGTAACCAACTCTAAGTTGCCCAAGATTCACTCAGTTTATTTTAACCATTTCCACTACCCTCTTACTAGCAGCTTTAGTTCTGTCTTACAATCGCTGTAGCCTCAGCACTGTCCACTACATTATCGTGTGGAAATCCAGGTTTCCCTCCCACCTACAGAGAAACACATGAAATGACGATACGTTGCTGTGTTTTGCAGTATTCCTTTTAAACATGTTCTGAAGACCTTTCAAAATTACTGTTTATAATCTAAAATAAAATGTTAAGATGTGTTTTCCTTCTATTTAGAGATGGATCCCTGGCTTCAACATGGGCCATCAGCAGCCGCCCCTCAGCCTGCACCTGCACCATCTAAGCTAGAAGATGCCCACAAACACGGCCCATCCGTTCTGACTCACAGAAGGGGGGACTTTAAAGAAACTGGGCAAACTATGGGAAAAGTTTAAAAATAAAAATGACCTTTGCTTCAACTTTATAGATGTTAGTAACTTGCCTTATTGTCTCTTATGCAATAAAATGTTTTGCCAGGTCTGGGTCCATTGAGAACAAATGTTCAAAGTTTAAAGTAAAAGAAATATTTTTTAAAAAAGACCCCGAATAGCTGCAGCAACCCTGAGAAAGAAGAAAGTAGGTGGGATCTCAATACCAGATATCAAGCTGTATTACAAAGCCACTGTTCTCAAAACAGCCTGGTACTGGCCCAAGAACAGACATATAGACCAATGGAATAGAATAGAGAACCCAGAAATCAACCCAAACCACTATGCTCAATTAATATTCGACAAAGGAGGCATGAACATACAATGG